ACTCCAGAATTAAAGCAAGATGAGGAACCATGCCCAGAAACAGAAGCAGGACTTGATAATGGACTAGTTATAAATAGAAAACATCAGATTATGTCTATTAATGTACACTACCAAATGATACCATTAGTATTGAATTTAACAATTTTATATTACCACAGCAACTCTGTCATGCAAAATGTGTGTGATTCTATATGCAAATTATACCAAATATGGTGCAATATTTCAGATAGTCAATGGATGGGGTGGAATTGGGGAAAATGTTGTGGCTTGAAAAGGGGGAGAGTCAGGAGAAGAGAGAAAAAAGAGATATAGGAACAGTACTGGGAGTTGGAGCATTGGGAACTTCAGCATGGAATCCCAGATATCACAGTAGCACTTTGAATGCTCCCTTGAACTGTGGGTGAACTATGTGTTATGCTAAACAATCTGTTCCACCTTGTATTCAGCTGTGACACTCTGAGTACATTTCCCAGATCTGAAGAAGAGCTTTGTGTAAGCTCAAAAGCTTGTCTCTCTCACCAACAGAAGTTGGTCCATTACAAGATATTACCTCACCCACCTTGTTTCTGTAATATCCTGGGATCAACACGGCTACAACAATGCTGCATACAAAGAATCTCTTGAGAGGAGTGTCTCCTGTCCTATGCAGCCATAAGCATTCATTTCTTAGAGATCCTGAACATCGGGAAAGAGCACAGAGCTCTCCCACGAACTAAAAGCCTCAGGAGGCTTTCCTTCCTGTGGCTTAATACTGGGACAAGGTACTCCTCTTCCACATAGGGATTCTGGACCCAATTCTGTCACATATTCAGACATTATTTTCAGAACAAAATCAGAAGCAATGGCCTCTATTACATTTCCTCACCATCCATTTATTGCCCTATGTTTCTGGGAAGAAGGAATAAATACAAAATAAAATCCTGGAACAAACAAATCTACCAACCACTGGTAAAATAAAATGAAACCCAATCAGACTTTTTAAACCCTGAAAAGAAAGAGGACCTAAAGCCCCCAGGAAGCTAAGAAGGGACTTCACTGTTGCTATTAAGTTCACATGGAAGGGGTTCTGATTCTGTAGCAGTAGGTGTTACTATACAATAGACAGAGAGATATGCAAAATAAGTGACAAGCCTCCAAAAAGTCTCCACTTCAGTAATGTACACAAGACCAAACATTTTTTAAAATGTGTATAACAGTGTAGTGTGCCTCAGTGGAGACTGTGCTACATTCCAGTGTCCGGTACATTTTTATGGGTGAGTTATAATAAACTCTTGGATGAAAAACAAGATGTGGGGAGAAGCAGAAGGGAGCGAGAGCTGTAACTATCTGCAGGGCCTTCTAGTTTTCCACGATTCTGTGCCCACAGAAATTCATCATTCTTCTCCCTTTCTTGCATTCATATTGTGGATGCGAATTAATTTATTTACAAATGTCAACACGTATCTACAAAGACCAAAAGAAAGGACCAGAAGGAAGAGTGAGAGGCACATAAAGGAGGTGAAAGAGTAGGTAGGAGGAAACAGACTGAGAAGGGGAAAGACTTATTTAAATGATTCAGTATAAAATTAAGTTACCATAGTGACTGCCATTCACATGGTCTAGGCATATGCTGGCTATTAGACCTTGCTCACCTTCACAAAGTAGAAACACGTTTGATACATCATGTAGTTGCTTATGGTGGTTCAAGAACTGTCTGGCAGAAGCTGATTATACAGAGTTCTCAACAATGGGCCAGGTTTCCATAACTGCCTGTGCCCAAGGCTGAAGGAAGCTTTTTGCTTTCTGTAATATTTCTACAACAAGGTCCAACAACTGTCACTCTCTGAATATACAACTATACAGATCTCTACATCTTCACACAATCACTAATTTATCCTCACCGTCCTCCTGTGAAACAGACCGGTTGCATTATCTCTATTTCACAGACTGGGATCATGCCATGGTTAAGTGACTGGCCCATGAACACACAGGATTAGCATGGTATTTGGAGATTGCTAGTTCTCATTATTCTGCACTACCGACTAATCCATGCAACTAAACATAAACATTTATGACATGGCACAAACAATGTAACAATTTCTCAGATAACCACGCATACAGAATTAAAGTACAATTACCAGTCCCTATCAATTCAGTTGAACACTTCCGTTAAGAATCTATATATGCTAGTTACTCACTGTGGGAGCTGAACAACATATGAATTTCAGTCTTTAAGAAGCCTATTATACTATAGATTATTATATTTTAGTATTTGGAATCATTGCTCTGTGATTTGAAACATAATTTCTATGATAGCTTTGTTGCCAAACTGAGCCTCTCAATTGACAGAGATCTGGGCTGTGAAATGTGAAAGGAATGTACGAAGACATTTAAAAAAAAATTATTCCAAAGAATTCTTGTCTAGGAACAAGGCCATCTAGTAGCACCAATTAATTTAGCTGTTTTCAGATTGTCTTATTAAAGAGATTATATGAGTCATTTATATATTTTTAAAGATTTAGAAAGTTCAATAGGCATAATTTAAAACTGTCCCCGTTGTTTTGGAATATGTCATAGTATCTAACTTGCCATTATTCCAGGAGATGAAGAAGGGTGTAAAATGACTCTTGTATCCCAAAGGGAATTATTTGCAAAGAATTCAGCTCACAGTGTTTAGTGTTTCACAGATTCAAGAGCTAATACAGAATCATCACCTCCCCGTTAGCTAGTCAACAGCAGACATACTTTTACCCCTTACTAAAATTAGCACTAACCGTAAAGTAGATCACTAACTAAACCAAGAAGTGTGAAAGAAAGATACTTATTTACTGGAGATTTAGGCCTATCCAATGGCAATGCTAATCTGCACTCTGTCAGTTTTTATAGGCCTTTCCCTAATCATTCTAATGTATGATATAAATAACGGCCCAAACAACCCCTACCTGCAACATCTTGTCTAAGATTAACATACTTTTCTTATGAACTTTAGGCCAAAATTTGCCCTGTGCCCCACTGAAGCTAACCAACTTCTTATAGTTTTTACTCTGATTATCTGTAATTTACTTCATGGTTTGAGGTTCATATTTCATGCCAGTGCTTTTCTCATGAAACGAAGCACTAAAACTTCTCCGCATGGAGTACATTGCTCTCCATTTTCAAAAACTGGATTTTCCGAGAACTCAGTGGTAGGTTTTCATCAAGGCACAAAGAGAATAAATAAGCAACACAAGCTGACAGATATTCGCATGCTGTGGTCCCTGCAAGAACTAGACATTTGAGGAAATGTTTTCAGCAACATTCCTCTCTGGATTATCTACTCAGAGCTGAGTAAAAGCATTAATAATATTGAACCTTAGCTTGAGTTTACACCTTTCTACCCATGAGCCATGACAAATGATGCAGAAAAACATTTGCGTTTTACATCAGGACATGACAACAGCAGAATGTTTATTGTCTTCATAGGGCTAGAAGACCTAAGTGATTTAGGAGTGCAAGTCCTAAAATTCCACCTGTAAACCTTACCTCAAGGACTTATAAAAACAGTTATTTATATTTAAAAAAACAAAACCATTAGGTTTCTGATGGGACTATATTTAGAATAGCAGAAATCAGAGATACAAAAAGTCCCATTGTAGCATCTATCCCATACCCTTTTCAGTGTAGCTCTGTTCCCTGTAAAATATTTTCTATAGCATTATCCAGTCTATTTTAAATCTACTGGGCCTGATTTTCCTCTCACTTACACTGGTATAAACTGGGAATAACTCAATTGAAATCAAAGGCATTATAATACGGGAAAACTGGTGAGAGAGGAGAATCAGGACCATTATTTTTAGAAATGTCATCCTTCTAGAACCTACAGTATGAATTACTGATTAATATGCTCAAATGCTAGTTCCTGATTCAACTATAATCTTCCCGGTTTATTTGCAGAAAGGACTATAAACAGAACGACAGACCACATACTGTAAATGGGAGCAGTAACACACAATCTGCATGATGCCCATCAAAATCTATGGAGGTCAAATAGTTAAGCCAAGCAAGTTTTAAAACTTGCCCCCCCACCCTCCAAATGGGTATTTCTGAGTCTCTAAATGCCAAATTGGTGCAAAATAAACTATGTTACCATTTCAACTATATGTGCAATTTACACTGTTGAATTTAGCCCAGTGCATCCCCAAAATAGTAGTATAAATTAAATATGCAATGTTGGAAACTGATTAAGGGCATGTGCCATAATGTGTATGAGACAAAGAATTAGAAATATATATCTTCATGAGTACATTTATAGTATATATAATACAGATACATAAAGCAAGTTCCTACAATTAGTATTCTGAATATTTTCTCTTTCCTTATATTTTTAGATAAATCAGATACATTTTAGGCTAACTAAACATGTAAGTAATATTTCACTGATCTTTTGCTTAAAAATACAGATGGATTCAATGTTATCCACATGCAAAAAGTCACCATTCCTGCGATTCAAAGTCACTGCATTAACTAGTTAATGGAACGGTTTCTAAACTTCGGGAGCCATTTTGATGCAAGTAACTCTCCCAAAGCTCATGAAATTACTCCATGGCCATGCCCAGGAGTTGGAAGATCTGGGTTGTAATTCCTTACTCTGCCACAGTCTTGTTGTGAGAACTTGGGCAAGCCACTTCACCTCTCTCTATATATATCATTTAGAAAATGTGGAGAATACTTACCAACCTCATACAGGTTGTTGGATTGTAAAGCTTAATTCCTGGCTATGAAGTGTTTGGAGATCCTTGGATGGGAGGCATCATAGAAGGTAATGTATTATTAGTAAGATTTATTATAATTCCTCAGTAACGGGAGACAACAAATGGAAAACAGGCTATGAAAAGCATTTCCCCATTGCTCCCTTCATTACACAGTTAATGCCTGCAACATACCTGGCATTACATCAGGGAATTTTAAATATACAACCATTTTCTCTTATTCCTATTTGTTAGTTCACAATGACAATTGAATTGCTATGTGAATAGGATTACCTGTAAACTAGTATATCATCAGAAGAGCTGTTATACTGAATCTGGTACATTCGTATTCCAGGGATATGATGCTGGGAAGGCCACTGTATGAGAGCAGAGGATGAGGTCAGCTCAGCAACCACAACCTTCTTCTCTTGCTGAGCTTTAGTTTCATTAGGGAAACTTGACTTAGCAGATATAAGAATGTCTGAAGGCCCAGACTCAGCATCTTTATCACAGTTGGTACTGTTAGCAAGATGAGGATAAGGATTAACAACAAGTTCAACAGAAGCTGTAGACTCTCCTGCAGCATTCGATGCTATACAGGTAAATGTACCTTTTTCTGTCAAAGAAGTAGTCAAAATATCCAAAGTTCCATTCTCATAGGAAATTGTCCTAGACGTATTGGAGACCAACTTCCCTTCGGGGGAGATCCAGCGAACATAGGGATCCGGGTCACCGACCGCTTTGCACTTCAAAGAGACACTCTGGCCCTCCATAACCACCAGTTTTGGCGTTCGATGTGTTATCATTGGAGGTTCACAGACAAACTCCTGCTCTTTAATGGACCAAAAGTACTTGGCCATCAATTCTGGTGGTGAGGCACATGTTTCTAGATCATCTTCTCTGGTAAGGCGTCTCAGCCACACTAATTCACAGTTGCAGTGTAGAGGATTCCCTCCAAAGCTAAGCACCAGAGAGGACAATGGAGACCCTTTAGATTTAGCATACACAGGGATCCTGGAGAACAGGGGATCAGGGGGAATTTTTTTCAATTTGTTGGATGTCATGTCCAATCGAGCAAGTTTGTGAAGGTTTGAGAAGATTCCTTCTGGAACAAACTCAATGAGGTTGTGATCCAAACTGATTGTATTGACATTAGAAAGCTTTCCAATTGTATCCCAAGGAATATTAACAAGATTATTATATGATAGATCCAGGTCCTCAAGTGTTTCAATAAAGTCATCTAAAGATCCAGGAGAAATATAGTTCAATTGATTGTTACTGAGTATTAAGTGGCGAAGATTAATTAAACCTTTGAAATGATCCTCATTGATACAAGTCAGTCTGTTACTATCCAAATGTAATGCATGAAGGCCTTTAAGATCAAAAAATGCATAAGGCATGATTTGACTTATTGTATTTCTTGATAGTGTCAAGTGAATAAGGTTTGTCATGTTTGCAAAATCCTTTCTTCTAAGTGTGGTGATGAAGTTATCCATTAATCTTAGTTCTGCTGTTCTCCTGTCAATGCTGGGGGGCACAAAGAGAAGCCCAGTCTTCGTACAGAGGATGGTGAAGGATGGAGATAGGTTTTGACACATACACCGTTTTGGACACATCATAGCCTTCACAGCAGTGCTAATAACCAATAGATAGATAACCAGCCTTTCCATTGTAAGAAAGATAGCAAACCTAAAGGAGAAAACAAGAAATCCAGATAAAGCCATTTTAATAACAAAAACTTTGAAAGACCATTTACATCTAAACATTTGTTATAATTATGGCTTTTGAATAAATCAGACATGCAATTCTAGGAATTACTGAAATGACTTAATTGATAATGTGAGCCTGGGAATCTGCTGAGCTAAGCCATTAAAATTCTTAGCTCACTTGATCTGGTTATCTTATCATAAGAACTCACAGGCCTGATTGTAAAGCAAAAGTACATTGCTCTCTGAGGTTAACAGAGGTGTGATAAGACTGTACGAGAGGTCTGCTATTTGTGGGAACTGAAGCACTGATCTTGAGAATCAATTACCACTCCTCCAGGATCTAGCTCTTCACGGACAAGCATTAATGATGGCTTTGGAGGTGACTTGTCCTGCCTTACAAGTTAGAAGGAAATGTTGCACAATGGTGGTAGCAAGTGAGGTAAATACTAGGGGGGGGGGGAAATTGAATGCTGGGGATTAAATAGGATCTATTCATTTACAGGGACCTGAAGCATCCAGAGGTAAAAGTTCTCTTTCTCTCCATACACTTTGTTTAGGAGATGTTTTATGAGCAGACCAAATTAACGTTCTTTTTCATATTAAATTAGAGTTTACGTTCTTCCTAGCTGGGGCCATGTCTGTGAGTGATACAGCACTTAGCACAATGAGGCCCTGATTCTGACTGCAGCCTATGAGTGTCCACAATACCAGAATGTACAATATCCGTAAAGGACAAATTACGTACAATGGGCTGCACATCCACTGTCATAAATAAAAATCCATCAGTAACCACTCACAGCAAGCATAATAAAAATAAGACTCCTCAAACCTTCACTCCATTTCTTTCCTAAATGCCTGGGAAAAAGACAGGCTTTGTTAAAAAGGTTAAGAACATAAGAATGGCCACACTGGCCTTCACAACATCTCTTGGCAATGAGTTCCACTGGTTGATTGTGTGTTGTGTGAAGAAGTACTTCCTTATGTTTGTTTTAAAACTGCTTACTTATTAATTTCATCAGGTGACCCCTCGCTCTTGTGATATGTGAAGGGGTAAATAACATTTTCCTATTCACTTTCTCTACACCATTCATGATTTTATAGTTCTCTATCATTCCTCCTTAGTCATCTCTTTTCTAAGAAAATCTCTCCTCATATGGAAGCTGTTCCATCCCCTAATCATTTTTGTGCCCTTCCTTGTATCTTTTCCAGAACTGCATGCAGTATTCAAGGGGTGGGAGTACCATGGAATTATACAGTGGCATTATGATATTTTCTGCCTTATTACCTCTCTCTCTCCTAATGGTTGCTAACATTCTGTTAGCTTTTTTGACTACTGCTGCATATTGAGTGGATGTTTTCAGAGAACAATCCATGATGACTCTAAGATTTCTTTCTTGAGTGTAACAGCTAATTTAGACTCCATCATGTTGTATATATAGTTGGGATTATGTTTTCCAATGTGCATTACTTTGCACTTATCAACATTGAATTTCATCTGCCATTTTGTTGCCCAGTCACCCAGTTTACTGAGATCCCTTTGTATCTCTTTGCAATCAGTCTTTGACTTAAATATACTGCATAATTTTGTATTGTCTGCAAACTTTGCCACCTCACTGTTTACCCCCTCTTCCAGATCATTTATAAATATGTTCAATAGCACTGGCTCCAATATTTACTTCTTCCCATTGTGAAAACTGGCTATTTATTCCTTCCATTTGCTTCCTATATTTTATCCAGTTCCTGATCCATGAGAAGTCCTTCCCTCTTTTCCCATGACTGCTTATTTTATTTAAGAGCCTTTGGTGTGGGACTTTGTTGAGGACTTTCTGAAAGTCCAAGTACACTATATCAACTGTATCACCCTTGTCCACATGCTTCTTGACACTCTCAAAGAACTCTTAATATTTTGGTGAGAAATGATTTCCCTTTACAAAAGCCGTGTTGACACTCCCCATCATATTATGTTTAACTATGTGTCTGATAATTCTGTTCTTTACTATAGTTTCAACCAATTTCCCTGGTACTGAAGTTAGGTTTATTGGCTGTAATTGCCAGGATGGCCTCTGGAGCCTTTTATAAAAACAGGTGTTACATTAGCTATCCTCCAGTTGTCTGGTATAGAGACTGATTTAAGCTACTGGTTATGTGCCATAGTTAGTAGGCCTGGAATTTCATATTTGAGTTACTTCAAACTCTTGGGTGAATACCATCTGGTCCTGGTGACTTATTATTGTTTAATTTATCAGTTTGTTCCAAAACCTCCTCTATTGACACCTCAGTTTGGGACTAAAAAAAAAATGGCTTAGGTGTGTGACTCTCTCTCATATCCTCAGCAGTGAAGACTGATGAAAAGAATTAATTTAGCTTCTCTGCAATGGAGTGCCTGACTGTTTGCCAGGCTTTTCTTTGAGCGCCCCACTAGCACCTATATCATCCAGTGGCCACAGTGAGTGTTTGGCAGGCTTCCTGCTTCTGATGTCCTAAAAATTTCTTTTGCTGTTAGTTTTTGTGTCTTTTGCTAGTTCCTCTTCAAATTCTTTTTTGGCCTGCCTAATTATACTTTTACACTTGACTTGCCAGAGTTTATGTTCCCTTCTATTTTCCTCAGTAGGATTTTACTTCCAATCTTAAGGATGCCTTTTTGCCTCTAACTACTGTGGTTAGATGTTGATAGATGTTTGGATGTGTGTGTGTGTTCCCTCTGTGTGCCACCCCAGCCCTACACAGACAGTTGACACGGCAGACCTTGAGTGAACCACCCAATGACCATAAGATCTGTTAAGGAACGAAGGCACCTAGCCAGGTTTATTGTCGACGAAGTATGGTACTAGTATCGCGCAGACTCTACTGGACGACTTATACATATATGTCCGTAACAATGGACCAGCTCAGTGAACTGCGGGACTTTCCGCTACACAAAGATACTCCGAGATACATCTTTATACCCCAATACAAACAAGTTAGTACTGCCCCCTGACATAATTAGTTACTGCCCCCGGATGTCGCTAGTTATTACCCATTATTTTGTACATGTTGGTGTGATCAAAACATCTCTATTACATACTGTCATCTTGACCTTATCTTTTAGGAGGCGTCAGTGTGTTCCTGTTGTTCTTGGGGAATGTTTTTGTACCATCCTTGATATTGGGATGTTCTGGTATCACTTGATATCGGAATGTGTTTGCATGAGCACTCTGTGACAGCACTTCTTAGGAATGTTTCTGCAATATCAGCCCTGTTCTTGCCAAATTCTGTGAGCAGATCCTGCCTCATACCAGGCCTCTGACACAAGGGCTTATGTCTCAGGCTCTCTTTCTACTACAACTACCTCTTTTACTCTGCTTTTTAGCCTTATTGGCATGTTTTTGGGACTCCTGCTGGGTTTTTTAAAAACTATTAAACAGGAGTACTTGTGGCACCTTAGAGACTTTTGCTGATACAGACTAATACGGCTGCTACTCTGAAACCTATCTAATTACAGTAGCTCTTAAATATCTATCTTCATGAAATCCATCCTTCTGGGTTATAATCACATTTATGAAGAGAGACTGCTGTACACTCTCCATGTGACAGCAACAGCAACAATATTTAGCTCTTATATAGCACTTTTTGCCTCTTATAATACCCATCATCCCAAACAAACCCAAAGTCCTTTACAAGCTACAGATAAATAGATTGCTTCTTCACTACTGACATTCAGCCACATTTAGAATGAAGTGGGGCAACTGTTAAACTACACACAACAATGCTACACAATACTTTAGGATATGGAACAAACTTGAATTAAATGGAAATTAAGGGAGCAGAATGGCACCACCTGACCTGAAATTTGACTAATTCCCTGCATTCACACTCCTATGTAATAAATAAAAAAAAAAGACACAGGGTCTTTAATAACCATAATGAGTTATGTCTACGGCCCTACCAAATTCATGACCATGAAAAACGCATCACGGACCATGAAATCTGGCTCCCACTGTGAAATCTCATTTTTTGTTTGCTTTTACCCTATACTATACAGATTTCATGGGAAAGACCAACGTTTCCCATATTAAGGGTCCTGACCCAAAAGGGAGTTGCGGGGTGGGGGTAGGGGTAGGTTATTTTAGGGGGATCATGGTATTGCCACTCTTACTTCTGTGCTGCTGACTTCAGAGCTGGGCGGCTGGACAGTGGCGGCTGCTGACCGTGGGCAGCAGCACAGAAGTAAGGGTGGCAATACCATACCATGCTGCTGTTGGTGGCGGCTCTGCCTTCGGAGCTGGGCTCCTGGCCAGCAGCTGCTGTTCACCAGGTGCTCAGCTCTGAAGGCAGCGCCGCCACAAGCAACAGTACAAAAGTAAGAGTAGCAGTATCACATATTGTATATTACAACACTATTACCTTTATCAACCAAACTTGAACTCTTGTAAAAAAAGATATCAAGTTTGTTCAACAGAATGTATTTTCCATAATCACATGTTGATTAGCATTAATTATAATACCCTACTATAATTCTTTTTAATCAAGTCTCATATCAGCCACTCCATTATCTTGCCTGTTAATGTTATCAGACTGACAGACCCATTTATGCTTTTTAAATATTGGCACATCATTAGCATTCTTCCAGTCCTCTGTGTTCCAACACTTATTGAAAATCAACATTAATGGTCCAGCAAGCTCCTCAGTCAGCTCTTTTAAAACTCTTGAGTGCAAGTTATCTGAACCAATTGATTTTAAAAATGTCTAACTTTAGCAGTTTCTGTTTAATATCCTCTGGAGATACTAGTGGAATGGAAAGAGTGATACCATACGATATGACTAAGCCATTTGTTTTCCCCCCAAATATAGAACAGACATTTATTGATCGCTTCTTTGTTTTCTGCATTATTATTGATAATTTTACCATTTCCACGTAGTAAAGGACTAGTGCCTTTGCTAAGATTCTGTTTCTTCTAGTATACCTAAAAATTCCTTCTTTTTGTTATTAACTCAGTTGGC